AAAAACGATTTGCTCCCCCACTGCCTGGGTACCCCCCCCCCCCCCTTGTCAAATAAAAAAAATTGGGCCCCACCCGTCACCTAAAAAGCAAAGAGTTTAGGTCTCACACACAAGACAAGCTTTGGATTCCATCTTTCGGGTGCAAAAATTCGATTTCAATCAAATTCAAAAAACTTAAATCGAGGTATTTCGATTTTGTTTATGTCGAAACTCGTATAATACATGCATATTTGTATTGTTTAATGTGTTTCCATGTTAATTTGTGTTATGTTTGTATTCAAATTTGTATCTTATTTATACCCAGATTGATTTATTAGCTTTGGGACAAAAAAATATTAAAATTTGATAAATAATTTGTATTGTTAATGTTATATTTTTATTTGGTTAAATAATAAATAAATATTATTTATTTAGTTTGTTGTTCATATTTGTATGTTATGTTTGTTGTTTTTATATGTAATAGTGACCTTTTAGCGTAGTAAAATAAAGAGCCTTTTAGTGTAGCAAAATAATGAGCTTTTTAGCGTAGTAAAATATAGAGCCTTTTAGCTTAGTAAAATATAGAGCCTTTTAGCGTAGAGTGCAAAATATAGAGCCTTTTAGCTTAGTAAAATATAGAGCCTTAAGTATGTAGTAACTGCAAACTTCTATCCAATAACACTTTACAAAATTAATTATTTAATTTATAAAAATAAACTTACAAAAGTAACAAATTAATATATATTGTCAAATAACTCAAATATCGAGCCCGGAACTCATAGATAATTACTCAGTCCAATTCAATAATTAATTATTTAATTTATTAAATTAACAAAATTGTAAAAATGCTGAAATTGACACACATAATAATTAAGGATAAGTTGGTGCTACCGGGGGTCAATTATCGAGCCTAGGAACCCATACATAATTATTCAGTCCAATTCAGTAATTTTTAATTTAATTATTTAATCTAACAAAATTCCATCGAGCCTGGAAGGCCATACATAATTATTAAGTCCAATTCAAGAATTTTTAATTTAATTTATTAAACTAACAAATTTCTAAAAAATATCGAAAATGACACACATAATAATTAAGTATAGCTTGGTGCTACCGGGCCTCAAATATCGAGCCTGGAAGCCATTCCTGAGTATTAAGTCCAATTCAAGAATTTTTAATTTAATTAATTAAACTAACAAATTTCTAAAATATATTGAAAATGACACACATAATAATTAAGTATAGCTTGGTGCTACCGGGCCTCAAATATCGAGCCTGGAAGGGCATACATAATTATTAAGTCCAATTCAAGAATTTTTAATTTAATTTATTAAACAAACAAATTTCTAAAAAATATTGAAAATGACACACATAATAATTAAGGATAGCTTGGTGCTACCGGGTCTCAAATATCGAGCCTCGAACCCATAGATAATTACTCACTCCAATATTAAAAATAATTATTTAATTTATTAAACTAACACATACAATTAATTTTGTTTAAATTATAGTGGACGACATGGCCTTTCCTCCGCCTGCACATCCTGGACCTGCCGAGGATCAGCTATTAGTGTTGCAGAGCGACCATAGGTCCTCCTATGTATGGGAGGGACAGCTATCGGAGCAGGCTCTCCGCCCCAGGAGACCTGACGATTTGTGGAATTCATCGTGGAGCATCCTTTCCATGCTCGCGTAGTCGCGCCCCTACAGGCTACGGGCTTCTATACGATTTTTGAGCTTGGACGGATGCAGCTTGATTGGTCTCTTATCACGGCCTTGGTAGAGCGGTGGCGACCGGAGACGCACACTTTTCACTTGCCCACTGGAGAGGCCACCATCACGCTGGAGGATGTTCAGGTTTTGTACGGGTTGCGCGTAGATGGACGGGACGTGGCACTGCCCCAGTACATTAGATCCATGACACGTGCACAATTTTTGGATATGATGGGCCAGTTTACTGGTTATAGACCTCAGGGTGGCGTTGGGGGCAGTCGCGTTCTTTTGTCAGCCATCAGAGATCATATGGCGTTTTTGCACCCAAACATTACCGGCAAGACGGAGGATCTCCACATTGAGAGGTACACGCGGTTGTCGTTGCTCCTGCTTTTCGGGTGTGTCTTGTTCCCGAACACTTCGGGGAGTACTGTGAGTATGCGCTTTCTCCATCCTCTTCAGTGGCTGGATGATTTACCCCAGTACAGCTGGGGTGCTGCTGTTCTCGCATACCTGTATAGGAGCATGTGTCGGGCGAGCATGGGGCCAGCGGTGGACATATGTGGTTTTCTGCCCCTCCTACAGGTGACAACATTTTCGAATACTCTGTTCATTACTCCGAATTCTATATGGTCGAAATGACTCATAAATTTTACATCTACCTTTTATCTTAGGTTTGGACCTGGCAGAGGATCATGCCGTTGCAGCCACCTCTACCACCACTTGCGCCCGGTGAGGCTTACCCGTTTCTCCCTCTAGCTTCCAGGTGGATTCTCCGGCGTGGGAACTACCGAGGGAGCGATGCTCATCATAATCTCCTCCTTGTCAGGGATGTGTTAGATATGCTGGTGGACGTATGTACCTACACTTGCTTGTTTTAAATTGAGTTGTGTTGCGCATACTCACTTTTATGTTATTATTTGCTAGTTCATCTGGACGCCATACAGTGACGAGTTGCTAGCTCAACTGACCGATATTTGCTCAATCGACCGATTGCTTTGGAGCACCTCCGTCCCGATGATCTTCTTCGATATGGTTGAGTATCATGCCACAGAGCGTGTGCTTCGCCAGTTTCACCGTCCCCAGCCTATACCGGGGGAGCCTGGATGGGTGGCTACACACTATCAGCGGGACGACCGCGCCAGGGTGGACGATATATATATGGAATTGCTAGAGCAGCAGGTCCATACTTGGGAGCAGCGAGGTCACTGTATTCCGCCACAGCCTACATTTACCCAGGAGGCCACTATTCATCTGTATACGTCATGGTACCGCCGTCACACCCGACTGATGATCGGGAACCCCATACGCCGGGAGGCACGAGGCACTGGTATATTTTTGTGGCTTATTAATATCTTATAATTGTGATATAGCGTTATTTAATTAATATTGTAAATGTTTCACAGGCTATTGGGCATCATCACCTCTACCAGTTGGGATAGGAGATGCAGCAGCATGCCGACAATCCTGCACTCATTGACTATGGCCGGCGGGTGGCACAGGTGGCTCGTCGAACCCTGTTTCAGGCGAAAAATGCCGCGAGGTTGGACCATGAGGCTCAGTATGCGGAGCCAGAGGACTACCATCGGGGTAGGTGTATCCCACGAGGCAGGGGTAGGGCACGAGGGAGGGGTGCCCCACGGGGTCGCGGGGGTCGTGGGGGACGGCGAGGAGGTGGTCCCCAGCAAGGGGACTATGAGGCACTTGTTGGCCCACCTGTTGAGGGACATGATGGGGATTTTGGAGATGAGGCTCTTGGAGATGATCAGCCGGGACCTCAGGTAGATGAGCCATCTAGCAGCATGCCGTCGTACAGCCTTCAGCTATCTCTGCCAGCATCGCAGGTCACCCCGTCAGGAGCATTGTCGATCACGGGTACATTCGATGGGGATGTAGACCAGTACTTTGCATGCCCATCTACCGCAGCTAAGGATCGGCCCACCCGGGATGTGGATGTCGGGCGCAGGTTGAGTTATGCCTCATCCCCGACGGTTGATGCGGATCTACCACAGGCACAGGTATGTTTGTATTACTTTAAAATTTCAATTTGTTTTCTTTTCCTTAATGAGCTGACATTAATTAATTTTTAACTTTCTTATGAAGGTTTCGTCCCAGCCCATCTTCGATGCCACTACATGCTTTGATGAGGACACCACGGATACATATACTCAGACGGCGAACGAGACCACGGTGAGAAAATGTTTGTTGACTCAACACGTATAATACAAATATACTTTTTCACATGCTAAGATTACTACTTGTTTTATAGGTTGCTGACGGCCCGACGGCCTATTCTTCCGATCCTGCCAGCTGTGGTGTCGATGCTGCTGCACATCCTCACATAAAGAGGCGACTTGATGACGATGATCCAGATAGTGTACCCGGGCGACAGGGGATGCGACTTAGGTTGGCAGCAGCACTGAAGCACACAGGCTGCGGGACTCACTGATTTACTTATGTTTTTACTTTGTGTAAATAGTGCATTATGTAAATAAAGGTAACAATTATCTTTTAACAATAATTTTATTTTAATTGCGTTTGAACAGCAATTTTACTTAAACAGTACAACAAAACACAAACCTAGCAAACCTAACACAAAAACAAACAGTAGAACTAAAAGAAAACATAAAGAAAGCAACTTTTTTTACATGGATTTCATCTTTTTCATAACGACAAGACAACTCCATAAAATGTAGTACTATACTGCGAATTAATTGTTAAATTTTTCTGCAAGAAAGCAGCTTTTTTCACATGGGTTTCATCTTTTTTCATAACGCCAAGACAACTCCATAAAACGTAGTACTATACTGAGAATTAATTATTATATTTTTCTGCAAGACAGCAGCTTTTTTCACATGGTTTTC